GAGACAACTTATGATCCTCGGGTAAGGTCTTATTGTAATTAGTCATATATCGTCGGAGTGTAGTCAAAAAAGAGACCACACGGGAAGACCTATCCAAGTCAGAGAGTTGAACTTATGCAGAATCTCATCGGGCCGAACTAAGGCAAACATATCCAACAGAGCCTTCCGGTCAGCCTCGAAATCTGTCTTAGAACAGTTCTGATGCCAGACCTCAAAATGGGTACCACGAAGATAATTACCAAGACGCCCTGCTATCTGGAGATTAGTCCAACCAGAGCCTCTAGCGTCGGCTTCATAACGCCTTAACCAATCCTCAAAATCAGCGATTCCATCATACCGTTCGGGCATAGGTGATTGCACGATCTGAACAACCGTAGATGACGAATTGGGAGTGACCGAAACATCAGGTATACGGGCCGAAGACGAAGAAGTACCACCACCACCAGAGCCATATCCGCAAGCCTTAGCAGCCTGTACCAACTCATTATGAGCCAAAGCACTATCACGAGCCGCAGAACGAGCCTTTTCTGCCGCATCTTCAGAAACACCAAGAGCTTTAAACTCATCATAAGCCTGCTTGCTAACAATGTCCACATCCTTCTCAATAAACTGAAATTCTCCAGGCATAATAGTAATATAACGTAAACCAATGGTAAATCAACAAGGAGCTGCTACCAATTAGATGTCAAGGTATGAATGCAAGTGCAAGAAGTTGAAGTTAGAGCCCAACTTGTAGATAACGCAAACCAGACCTTGAATCTTAGAGTACACTTCCAGTGCACAGTAGATACGATAGAACCGTAAATGCTACGGACAATTCCGCACTCACTTATGAGTAGTGATCTTGCAACACTCTAGCGTGCTAGCTACACAGCTTAGCGTACTACACAAATGGAGCAATGGTCACAACACACAAGACGGGCCGAAGGTTTTCATGGCGAGTGACGCTTCTGGGACATCGTCCCATAACAACGTCACGCGTGTTGTCACGCGACACGAGTAGGGCGAGCGATAAGACGAAAGGATGTTGAATGACAATTGTGGGGAAAAGTATGATAATCGTCGATCATCGGTCACTGTTCCTCATCACTAGTACCTAGTCAACCAGTGCAGGTGCCCTAGTAACACCCGCACTGGTTGACCCAACAATACCTGGGATAGCCATAATAGGTAATAAGGCTTCTTATCTAATCCATTTGAGCCTGAGGGCTGCGAGGCTCGCAGTTCGAGCCGTTTCATTCAACGAATCGCAGACGAGTCCGCATTGGATTCGGATATGAACCAGAGAGGTTCCAGCATTTGATCAGGATACTCTATGGCCCGGATTGCACTCTTCGACGAGCGGAGCCGTGAACTTGTTCTCGTCGAAAATTCCATTATAAAACTCTCGTTACGTTATGTTGCAGTAGATCGTTGTGAATACGAACCCTGCAATTTGTTCCGCGATGCGCCATTTGCGATATAATTGTCTTATTTTTCATTGATCGTGCGCTCTTAGTTTTTATTGCTAGTATCCAGACTAGCTGTCTTTGCGTCACCGCGAGTGGCAGTATCATATTGTGTTAAAGAAACGCCTGAGTCTGTACTCCTATGCCTCCACTGAACTAACACTATCATTTGGCAATTTCCCTATGCAGATAATTGCCGAGACATGTGCCGATATTGCCCGTTGGTTTGCATACTTTCCTAAGGGGACTGTTGTG